CCTATCACTGCGCTGCCGAACGAACTGTACAACAAACCTGACTGACTGTATTACTACAAAAAAAGAGTCTTCTGCTGGACACCTGAATTTCTCCTGCGGGGATCAATACAATATTTATCATCCATCCATATCTCTCTAATCATCTGCGTGATAATAGTTTGAGCGATTCTCAGCTGAAAACTTGAATAGAGGTAATGTCTCCTCAATTAAAACTTCCAAATTTATCTGTCTGCATTATTATGATTTTGTCTGTTTGTTCATTGCTATTCACCCGTTGTCTGCTTTATGGCCCGACGACAAGACCTCTGAACCCGGTCTACACCTGTCCTGCCCGACCTGCCTGGAGCTGCTTCAGTCCTGCACCAGTCCTCGTTCTACAGCCTCAGTCCCGGGTCTACGGCCTCAGTCCCGGGTCTACGGCCTCAGTCCCGGGTCTACGGCCTCAGTCCCGGGTCTACGGCCTCAGTCCCGGGTCTACAGCCTTAGTCCTGGTGTTGTGTAGCACAGACTTGTTTATGTTTTGATTGGTTTGAATGTAGTGTAATATTACAGCAGTGATGTTGTTGGAGGTTAGCCGGACCAGAAGCAGAGACCAGAAGCCGGACCAGAAGCAGAGACCAGAAGCCGGACCAGAAGCAGAGACCAGAAGCCGGACCAGAAGCAGAGACCAGAAGCCGGACCAGAAGCCGGACCAGAAGCAGAGACCAGAAGCCGGACCAGAAGCCGGACCAGAAGCACAGACCAGAAGCAGAGACCAGAAGCAGAGACCAGCAGGCGGACCATAATCGCTGATAACACACTGATCGAGGACTGCGTCTGAATCTCAGCAGAAGCTCAGAGTTGACCTTTCCATTTTGTCTCAATGAAACCTAATCTAACCTCCCGTAAAACCATCAGCGGCGGCTTTTCAGAATCCACACATTTTTCATGGTCCTGCAGTTAATTATCTACGAACGAGCGAGGCACGAGGTGGAATACTGGGTTGAATCCTTGATATTTAAATACAATAATAATAATAATATATAGTTAGATATAACCATAAAAAAGTAAGAGGTCACATCCAGATTATTCTATTCTCACGATATTATATTATTATTATTCGTATTTTCAGATTTTTACTTTAATTTAATTTTTATTTTGTACATGAATTGGTATTTCTTTATATACTGTAAATATAAAGTATGTTTTTTATTATTTATTACTTTTATCCTTTTTATTTATTTTTTCTCTCTTTTTCTTTACCTTTTTGTTATAAATGTATTTTGTGTGTTCTTATGCGCTCTCTCCTCTTGGTGGATATTGGGGACGGACCGGGGGTAAAATGCATTATTAAAAACATTATAACCATGACCAGATACAGTCAAACGAGAAACACCGGAACAATGACTCAGAGATGGTCTTGGTTTAGACGGAGGTAGATCTATGTTTCAGTGTTGGAGCGCACAGTACAGTGACACCATAGGAACTATTTAAAAAGAACTGGCCCAGGCCTTACTGCCTCGGGCTGGTTTTGAATCAGACTCGGACCAAAACCTGGAACACAAACATGAAACACACAAACTCATCAGTGCAGCGTGAGGAGAAAGGAAAAACATTGAACCAGTGCCTCTTGGCGGGGGTTTGAACTCTACAAGTGCTTTCCGTGTTTATTTAAATTCCCTCAAGAACGGGCCGAGGGGAAGCTAGTCTCTGCAAAGCTAACGCCTCCGTCTGCAGCCGCCGAGCAGTGAGTGTGAGAACGGCCTCACATTCTGTCACGCCGAGGTCACGTCGGAGGTAATTGCAGCATTTGTCTCTTCCTGTTGAATTGTAATAGAGTCTGGCTCTATTTCGCAGCATAATGACATCCCATGATGCTCTCTGTGTGCATGGTAACCAAATATAATTGCCCCGTGACCGTGTTCGGTTGCTTCCCATTACGGTGCTGAATTAGAGCTGCTGGAAAAAAAAGGAAATGACATTAGGCCCCCCCGAGTCTGAAGGTCCAATACCACCCCCCCCTCTACAGCCTGAAGGTCCAATACAACTACCCCCCCCTCTTCCCCCACCCTGTGCTACATTAGCCTGTTTCATTAGCCGTTAGCCTGGCAGATAAAGCGTGATATGCCTGTAAACCATTGACTGTAAATATTAGCAAACGTAGTGACGCTTATCTCCTCTGTAAAAGTGTGTGATCAACATGTATCTTTTCAAAATGGCCGCTAGTAGCCCCTCCCACAGGAAAATGGCGAAAAAAGCCTGGCACATGGTATTCATTTAACGCATTCATTCAAAAGTCCACAGCGGATAAACAGAATACTTCTCAGGATTGACACTTTTGGACCAGGATGTAAAGCCGTTTGTGAGCGGGAAAAGTGCCGTTAGAATGCGTTGGATAATTCTGCTTCCTGTACACCACCACCGGCAAAGAGTCGGAGTACCAACACACTGCAAAAAGTGATAAAAAATAAGCCAAAAATCGCTCAAAATTGGCAAAACATGTCTTAATTTGAGCACATTCTGTCTGCCTTAAAACATGAATTGCCGATGGGACGAAGCCAAATGAGATAATCAAAAGAAATGTCTCCTTTGGAATGAGAAAATAAAGCAACAACTCTTGGAATCAGACTACATGGCTCCGTCTCATCAGAGAATCTGGTTTTAATACAATCACCAACCCCCCCCTCCGTTCTGCGCTGTGCTACATTAGCCTGTTTCATTAGCCGTTAGCCCGGCAGATACAGCCTGATATTACACCAGGGCAGCTCCTTCAGCGCTGACATTTCAGACGGGAATATGATTGGAAAAGATACGCCAATATTTGCACTAGAGTCACACAGTTGTTGATAACAAGGTAATAAGAGAGAGGGAGGGCGTGGGGGAGAGAGAGGGGGGTGAGAGTGAGAGAGAGAGAGACACACAGGGAGAGAGAGACAGACACAGAGATAGACAGAGAAAGAGAGAGAGACAGAGATAGACAGAGAAAGAGAGAGAGAGACAGAGAGAGACAGAGACAGACACAGAGATAGATAGAGAAAGAGAGAGAGAGACAGAGACAGACACAGAGAGAGAGAGACAGAGATAGACAGAGACAGACACAGAGATAGAGAGGGAGAGAGAGAGACAGACAGACAGACAGAGATAGAGAGGGAGAGAGAGAGAGAGAGAGAGACAGACAGACAGAGATAGAGAGAACAGAGAGAGAGAGAGATAGAGAGAACAGAGAGAGAGAGAGAGAGAGAGACAGACAGACAGAGATAGAGAGAACAGAGAGAGAGAGAGAGAGAGAGAGAGACAGACAGACAGATAGAGAGAACAGAGAGAGAGAGAGAGAGAGAGACAGACAGACAGAGATAGAGAGAACAGAGAGAGAGAGAGAGAGAGAGAGACAGACAGACAGAGATAGAGAGAACAGAGAGAGAGAGAGAGAGAGACAGAGATAGAAAGAGAGAGAGAGGGAGAGAGAGAGAGACACAGAGATAGAGAGAGAACAGAGAGAAAGAGAGAGAGAGAGAGAGAGAGAGAGAGAGAGAGAGGCTGCGATGATGCCCTGGGGGTGACTTTATTCCAGAAGGAGACGTGCTGTGAGAGGTTCATGTTCTGAAGCCACAGGCCTCACGGAGCTGACACCAGAGCGGACGAGATCAAGCAAGTTGTAAAATACTTTGATCCAGCGATAGACAAAAGACCAGCAACAGACAAACTGAACCAGAGGCAGGTACTGGTACAAATAACGGAAGAGAGACACCAGGAGAGAGACACCAGGAGAGAGACACCAGGGAGAGACACCAGGAGAGAGACACCAGGAGAGAGGCAGCGGGAGAGAGGCAGCGGGAGAGAAACACCAGGGAGAGACACCAGGGAGAGAGACACCAGGGAGAGAGACACCAGGAGAGAGACACCAGGAAAGAGGCACCGGGAGAGACACCAGGAGAGAGGCAGCGGGAGAGAGGCAGCGGGAGAGTGACACCAGGGAGAGAGGCAGCGGGAGAGAGACACCAGGGAGAGAGACACCAGGAGAGAGACACCAGGAAAGAGGCACCGGGAGAGACACCAGGAGAGAGGCAGCGGGAGAGAGGCAGCGGGAGAGTGACACCAGGGAGAGAGACACCAGGGAGAGAGACACCAGGGAGAGAGACACCAGGGAGAGAGACACCAGGGAGAGAGACACCAGGGAGAGAGGCAGCGGGAGAGAGACACCGGGAGAGAGACACTGGGAGAGAGACACTGGGAGAGAGGCACCGGGAGAGAGAAACCAGGGAGAGAGGCAGCGGGAGAGAGACACCGGGAGAGAGACACTGGGAGAGAGGCACCGGGAGAGAGAAACCAGGGAGAGAGGCAGCGGGAGAGAGACACCAGGAGAGAGGCACCGGGAGAGAGACACTGGGAGAGAGACACCAGGAGAGAGACACCAGGGAGAGAGACACTGGGAGAGAGACACCAGGAGAGAGACACCGGGAGAGAGGCACCGGGAGAGAGACACCAGGAGAGAGACACCAGGAGAGACGCACCAGGAGAGAGAAACCAGGGAGAGAGAAACCAGGGAGAAAGACACCAGGGAGAGAGACACCAGGGAGAGAGACACCAGGAGAGAGACACTGGGAGAGAGACACCAGGAGAGAGACACCAGGGAGAGAGACACTGGGAGAGAGACACCAGGAGAGAGACACCGGGAGAGAGGCACCGGGAGAGAGACACCAGGAGAGAGACACCAGGAGAGAGAAACCAGGGAGAGAGAAACCAGGGAGAGAGGCAGCGGGAGAGAGACACCAGGAGAGAGGCACCGGGAGAGAGACACCAGGAGAGAGACACTGGGAGAGAGGCACCGGGAGAGAGACACCAGGAGAGAGACACCGGGAGAGAGGCACCGGGAGAGAGACACCA